CAATCTGTTAAAAGCCACCAGAATAAAAAAGATGGTTGGAGATAGATCTTCCTCAGCTATCAGAGAAAAGATTCTCTTGATATGAGAAATATATGGGAAAAGTAGGTTTTTAGCAAGCTGACATTTTTCTCATTAAAGGCAAACGAGCCAACACAGACTATTGTTGTTTACACATGGACTGTTGTCGTAATTTTTGTTGTTGTTCTTATCACATTTCAGCCATTGTTCTCTACAGGCTTCATCAGGTGCTTGACAATCCAAGTAGCCTACAGGGAATTTTGAACTGAACCCTTTATTTAATATACAGTGGTATATTGTTCCACAGATCATGTCTAGGGATATTTCATGTAGTTCTTATTTAGCAATACTTAGTTATTGTTCATTCTATTTCCACTTAGTCCAAGTAAGCACTGCCTGACCCAGGGATTGAACTCACAATTAATATGTCACCAAATTCATAAATCAACATTTTAATCCACTAGTCTATTGGTCCAAGATGAAGGTTAGTTGGTTTGTGATGAAGGCCTGAGTCTGTGGTTTTCAAAACACACAGTCAACCTGTGGTTTATACTGCAACTATAATGAGCAGACTTTAGTTACAGTTTCAGAGAGGTAAGCATCTGATTAAAGTCAGAGTGGAAATGTTTTGATAACAATAAAGATGAGGACAATAGTCTGCATGTAAATAATATAAATAATGTTAACTCCTCATCCCAGAAATTCAGACAGACTATCATCCTCATCATTGCAAATGAGAAAATCACTTTTCAGGCACCTGCATGCAATTGTCAAGCATTAGAATTTGGGAAAGGAAGATGCTAGTTTGAAGCATTTACATACTGAACAACTGGAATAAGCTAAATCTTCTTAATCTCTTGTCAAATGTATTCTGGTCTTCATCATTATTCCAAGATAATGATCAATCTCAGGAACCTGTCAACTTCAGTTTTGTGTGATATGTTCCTGGCTCATGTGTGTAGTTCTTCAACCTTTAGCTTAGGGCCCTCTTTATATTCTCTAAAGACAAAACATGGATGGATATGTGTCTCCTGTTCAGGACATTAATGAAAGTGTGACTGGAACGCAAACTTGTCCATTATGTATAGTTTTACATTTGATGTCATGACTAAAGAGGCCCATGGCCATTTTTTTAATCAATTCACCCCAAGCAAGGCAATAATGTCACTAAGATGCAAGGAGTTACTGGTAATAAAAGTGAATGAGAAGACTTTAGAAGGAACCAGAAACCCAATCCTAAACAGGAAACAAGAGATAAACCTCTACTCCTGTTTGAAAGACCAGTGTAAACCAGATGATCATGTTGAGACACTGGTTCTCATCAAATTACCAAAGTTAAGCAACATCAAGCCTGGTCAATACATAGATGGGTGACATTGAGAATAGCAGGTGTTGTAAGCTTGGATGTGTGGGTAGGATATCACAGATATCACCAGCCGTGATATTACACATATATCTTTTTAAGATATATTTTTACATTCAACCTCAATCTTGAAGTGTTGACCACTCACCTTACTCTCAAAAACACATCACCTTCTGAACTGAATTCTTCCCACTTTCACAGTTTTAATTCTATAATCATAACATTATTCCTTCAACAATTTGTTGTCAATTTACATACCTTACTCCTAAGAGGGTCATTTCTAGCGTCTACACATAATTCAGGTGAATTAATCAAATCTTACTTATTATAAAACGCAGATTGTGTGTGTGTGTGTGTGTCTGTAACGTTTATATGTTGGATCGAATTTCCTACATTTTTTAGCCGATTTCAACAAAACTTCACAGGACTACATAAAATTACCTTGTGGTGGTTCTAACGGGGCCGAAAATAGGAAAAACACAGTTGTTTTTTAATAAAATCAGTTTGAAAACACGATTAAAACACATCGTGAGAATGAAAGGGGGACAACTCACCCACGAAAATGTAAACAAAAAGAGCATAGCATGATGAAAAAAGACGCCGAACTTGATGAAAACAAAATTTTATCGTCTAATGTTCATATTATTATTAAAGAGGAAAGATCAAAAGTATTTTGGGGTATTTTTTTACATTTTTTAATCGTTCCTAGCACGTCTGAAATTTTCGTTAAAAATATTGTTTTTTCAAAAAAAAAAGGACAGATAATCATTTTCAATCATTTTTTCGATTTGATAAAAAGATTAAAATCTTACTTTGATATTCTTTTAAAAATCAATTATCATTTTTTCAAAACTGATTTTAATAAAAACAGAAATTATACTGTTTATTTAAAATATTTTGAACCAAGCTTAACTTAGCTTCTGCACCGAAAAAATGTAATTTGAAAATAAAACAAAGCAGGTCATAACCTTTTCGCTTGACGATTGACGAAGGCACATTCATGACGTTTAGATAACTTACGGGAGGAGAATTCTTTTCTACGGATGGAAGGAAGTGAAATTATTTAAGTGAACAAATTATTTACCTTGTTACTTTTAAGGAAAACTTTCAGCGCTCTAATTTTTATTTTTATTTTTTTTTTTTTTTTTGTACTTAGCTTTCATTTTTACGTTTACGATGCTTTATGGAAAATATAAAGAAATAAAAAAAGACTGTTAAAAGTGAGATTAAATTTCATAAGAAAAAGGTATCTAATTAATTTAGGTACCTTTCTTATGAAATTTTATCAGAAGTGTACATAAAATACTATAAATTTATGTACATTTATTACATTTTACTGTGTTATTTGTATTTCCATTCATTTTATTATTAATTTTGATATTTCATTTATGGAAAAATGTCATAACTGAGATTAATATAAAAATAAGATCATATAAATTAAAGTTTAGCAGTAGTTAAATTTCATAAGATGATACTGTTACTTGTAGGTACCCTTCTCAGTTGAAATTGAAAACTCAAATTAACTTCTCCATACGTGTTTCAAAAAAGTAAAGTGCTTAACAGCGGAGAACAATGCTGAACTCAAATAATGCAACTAAATTGTATTCTGGTTGGTCTTCCGTACTTGATAATTACTGTCCGACTATAAACACAAAAAATTACATTTCTTAATTACCATGGCTAATCTGATTGGTCCAAATTATACAATTTTCAAAGCACTAGACAATGACAATCTCACACGGACATTTTGAAAGGTTGATGTTGCTTTTTTTTTAACTAATGTTAAAATATATTTTAAAATTCAATTTAAACATTTTTAAAAATCTTTTTAAAATTAAAGAAATAAGAAATAATTGCATTAAAAATTCAATTTTCATTGAAAAAATTTTTTGCTTTCAGAAAATATTGTCCATATTCATAAAAACAAATTAAAACAAATAAAAGCATTTGAAACTAAATAATATATTTGTTTTATTGAGTTTTGTATGTTACAATTCACAGCTGATTTTTAGGTACGTGGCCAAAAAAAAAAAAAAAAAAACATGATTTGCATTCTTCAAAGCCTTGTGCCTATTGTAATCACTAAAACCGATGGTCTCGAATTTTTAGAGTTTTTCATAAAATTAGTTATGGGGGTGTTAATAAATATAAAAAAATATCTCTGCCATGACTTTAATAAAAAAAAAAAAATTATAATAATTTCGATCATCTGTGAATAGTTTCTGCAAGTTTCATTAACATCTGACAATTATTTTTATTTTTGCAAGATTTTCCAAATTAATGTGTGTAAATACAAAAAAACGCGCTAAAAATTATCTATGTTATTTACTACCCCTTGTTGCGACAAAGAGAAACAAGGTTTTTTAAATCAAAATTTAGAATATTCTAAAAAGATGGAAAAATTTTTAAAAAATAATTAAAAAAAAAATTTAGTCTATCCTCTTCATAAAAACATAAGCATTTTGACGATAAAATTTTGTTTTCATAAACTTTGGTGTCTTTTTCATCAGACTATGCTCTATGTTTTAGCGATTCCATGGAGTGACTTAGGTTAAAAAACCCAGGTTGTTTATGTGTGTGTGTGTCTGTCTGTGTGTTCCTTTATATATGGGATCAGATTTCTTACAGTTTTCAGCCGATGAAACAAACATCCACTTTTTTTTTTCGGCAGGTAGTATTTCTTATTGTCTTGCACACTTTTTTCTTTATTTACATTCAGAATGCTTTAAAAATTCCATTTACAAGACAATTGTTTATAATAAAATTCTATTCACCAATCGATAGACTCATAACGATTGTAAACAATATTTTTTTGTTTGAATTTGGGTTTGACCAATTTCAAAAAAAAAAAAAAAACTAATTAAGACATGCGTGTCCGTCAACCTTAAACAATAATCTTTGTCAATTTTATTTTTCAGTCTTTATGATGGTGAAATTACTTGATCTATCTCTTATTGTTACATCCCCGGCAACGCCGGGCTCTACTACTAGTATATATATATATATATATAATAATATATATATATATATATATATATATATGGACACCAGTGTAGAAACACCTCTCACATAATGGTAAAACATTAGGGGCATTGGTGTCTTCATCTTGCTACTGTCTAACCATTATGTGGGAGATATTCCTGCTACATCCTGTATAAATATCATTACTTTAAATTTTATATTTCGTTGATACATATGTTTGAGTAGATGTCTGTTTTTTCAACAGTGTAAATGCCTGCTCAAACATTTGCCTCTGCTAAATATAATGTTTAAAGTAATAATGTAGGATTACAAATAAAATCAATTGCATTTTTGGTAAAAAGCTTCTACTCAAGTAAAGAGCATAAATATTGATTAAACTGAGTATAGTGTGGCACAAGGCCACCTGTTTAGTTGAAGAAAATATATATTAAATTGAAAATGATAACATTAGTAATGAAAATGATTTGTGACTTTTTTGTTGTTCTGTACTTTGTCCTAACATTAAAAAAAGTCCATAGGACACCAAAAGTTTAATGAGTTTGAATTACTATGTTCAGGATGATGTTTAAAGCACATTTATTATTTCTTTTCTTTCTTACAACTTATTTTATATTTCTTCTTCCCCCCTCTCACCTAGTTGCTCTATGAAGACACTGTTGATGAGAAAGAGAAAATCCAGCTATTGACAGTCTTGCAGGAATATGGAGGAGCTGGACTGGAAACTTCCAGGTAAAAAAAAATAAAAGCAATTCTTTGATTGACTTTAAAATTGGGTGTTTTTTGTTACTTTTTCTTTCATATTTTTGGCACTTTACTAAAAATATAGTGTATTATCTAACCCTCTCTTTCTCTCTCTCTCTCATATGTATATATATATATATATATATATATATATATACTTAAAAAATTAGGAGATCACTTGATTTTGTTACCTTGGTTTCAACCTTAAGGTATCCTCAGGTGATTCTTATCAACTGACATCTTAAGCTTTATTTAAAAAAAATAAAAAACAATGAACGCTATATTAGCATTTTTTTTTTTAATAAAGCGTTGGGAGGTCAATTGAAAAGCATCACCTGAGGATACCATAAGGCTGAAATATTAAAAGCTCTATATGCTATTTTTTTCACTCATGTATTGAGCACTTTTTAATACTACTCTTTCCTGGTCCAATTCAACTCAGACCATTAACGTTTATATATATATATATATATATATATATAATATGACTTCTATTTTGCCAGCTGTACGGGTGATGTGTTAACAGCCATCACTATACATATAGCAAAGTTCTTAATAAGAACATTGTCTTGATTGAATATTCTAGATATCTCTAAGGGGTTTGACGAGGTTTGACACATTAGTCCAGGGATACGGTATTACAGGACAATTGTTTGATTTAATTCAATTGTTCCTATCAAATTGTGAAATGAAGAATGTTTTGAATGGGCTTGCTTCCTGATCCTTTCACACAAATGCGAGTGTCCCCCAAGGCTCTATCCTGGGTCCTGTGCTGTTTCTGATTTTCATCAATGATCTTTCTGATCTCATCAGTTCCCTCTGTCTTTTCTACAAATATTTTCATGGTAACTGCTTGGACTCCATGAATTTAAGCATGCTGCTAGATTGGTATCTAGGTCCCCACCCTTTTAATATTGAATTAGTTAAATGTAAGAGCCACTTGTACTCCAATAGTTTCTTTTCTTACACCTGTGGAACTTCCTTCCATTTACTTGCATCTCTGAAAACTACAATCTTCAAAAATTTAGATGCAATCTCAATTGCTATCTGTCTTCTTGAATCCCTTTCATCTTTTATCCTTTCCTTGATCCACCCTATGCAGTCTTTTCTCTTTCACTTTCTGTAAATCCTTGCATACTTGGGGTGAAACGATTAAAAAAAATATATATATCATGTTAAAATTTACTTTAAATATCCAATCCTTTTTAATTGTTGTATCCTCAAGTCCAAACTTTCTTGGTGCCAACCATTCTTCAGAGGGTTCTGTATTTAAATGGGTATATTTCCATTTTTCAATTTTTTTTCTGTCTTTTTTAATCCATTTGTACATGTGCTCATAATTTTGTGTTGTTTTATGTATGCCTGTTTATGGATTTCTACTTTTGTTTATGTCTTAAATTTGTAATCCTTATAATTTTGTTTATGTCTTAAATTTGTAATCCTTATAATTTTGTTTATGTCTTAAATTTGTAATCCTTATAATTTTGTTTATGTCTTAAATTTGTAATCCTTATAATTTTGTTTATGTCTTAAATTTGTAATCCTTATAATTTTTTTATGTCTTAAATTTTGTAATCCTTATAATTTTTGTTTATGTCTTAAATTTGTAATCCTTATAATTTTTTTTGAAAATTAAATTTTTTTATAATTTTTTTATGTCTTAAATTTGTAATATTTATATGGTTTTTTCTAGTTTCTTTAAATTTTTCAGTTCAAAATTTTTCTTCAAAATTAGAATTTTTGTATTTTTATGTATGCTTCATATTGAAGTTCTTGTCGTGTGTTATATTATTAATTAAATTTTATAGTATTTATTAATTTGTATTATTAATGAAATTATTAATTAAATTATAAAATTTTATGCTGCATTTGATGTATTATATTATATCAAAGTAACAAAGTAAATATTTGTTAATATGTCAGCATCGACCCATTATATCATTCTTCATATTTAATAAATTAATTTGATTATTAAATGTTAATATTGCTAAGTTTGGTTAAAGACAAACAAAAGTTCTATTAAGGAAGTTTTTTTCATTTTTGCTATATGCCAGATAATTTTTTTGGTTTCTGATTCATATTTAACATAAAGATATTACAAAGCAATATTTGAAAATGATGAAACTGACATGACATTAAAAGCAAAAACTCAACTCACACATTGGACAATTTAAATATATACCCAAAAAATGATCCAAAATATAGAAAAGATAAATTAAAAAAATGTTGAGAAAGAATTTTCATTGGCTTTTAAACAAAACTGCGTTATTATCTTAAAAAATTCTTACAATCTAAATAAATTTTTTTTCTGGATTTAAATAACTTGCAATGAGTTGATAGGCTGTAAAAACAAACAATCAATCAATTAACCAAAATTATATAAATGAAAAACTCTT